CGCTCCAACCGGATAAAAAGGGGGCGAGATTCGAGAATTATGTAGGCTGGACCACCTCAGCCGGAGGGCCCGGGTGAGGGCAGGGGGGAGGGGGGCAGGTGTTAAAGAGAACTATTTTTCCGGGAAGCGTCAGCTGTCATGGGGCGGGGGCCACCTCTTCTAGTTAGAGTCAAAATGTTTGGATCGGGCTGCTGCGCCTCGGTCCCGTTGAAGGAGTGGCGGCTGACGCTGCGGTGGAAGGAGGACTGGGAGGACGCGGGAGGGGCGATGGCGACGACCCCGGCAGTGCCGTGGCGGTGCCGTGCCAGTGCCGCCAGGTGTGCAACAATGGGGCACCAGTGTGTGCCCCGAGCGCCCTGGGGACCTCGTGAGCCAGCGCGACCCCCCGGCGAGCGCCGGGCTCTTTATCAACCGAGGCCCTGGTGCCCCCCCCCCCTCTCTCTTCCTGCCCGGCCGGAAAGGACCTTTGCTTTCGCAGACCTGTGCCTCCCCTTTGCAGCGGAGGGGCTGCGACGCGATAGCGCGTGCGGTTGCGGAAACCCTTCTTTGTGCGATCTTTCCCGCCAAGACGACGAACGAATTCTACGGAGGAGGAGGGGAAGAAGTGCGAGCGGCAGCAGCAGACTGATTACCCGACGGTCCTTTTCGTCGCTCTGTCTCTCTCGCACTCTCGGGGCATGCCGCACAGGTGCGAGAGAGACAGCGCGACGAAAACGACTCTCGGAATCAGTCTGCAGCGGGGCCAATCAGCAGGCGGCACTCACGGCCTCGTCCCGCAGTCCCGCAGAGTCATGCAGTGTGCCAGCACGCCGTCATCGTCATCGGCAGCAGGAGGTGGCGGCCTGCAGACCGATTCCGAGAGTCGTTTTCGTCGCTGTCTCTCTCGCACCGATGGAGGCATGCCGTATAGGTGCGAGAGAGACAGAGCGACGAAAACGACTCTCGGAACCAGTCTTGCAGGCGGCATAATGACAATCGCACACACGACCCTCGGCTCGGCCGGCACGTTGGCCGTCGGGCGCCCCGCGCCTGCCTGGCTAATGCCGCGCCGATCCATCGCCACCGCGATCGAGATCGGGAGGGATCCATCAGAGGCAAGGAGCAAGGCGCGAGCGCGACCTCGGCGAGATGAGCCTCCCACATTCTCCTACGGCCGTGCGGCGTGTTTGACACTCCGACTGCGAGCCGCGTGAGTGTATTTTGATTGGCTTCACTCGCGTGGACCCGTCGCAGTGACCGGCCAATCCCGGGGATAGGCATAGTTTTCGGGTTTTTCGAGCACAATTTGCCTACTGCATGGAGGCATGCTTTACCAGTGTCGCGGTGCACACGCGTGTCCGCGTGACGGTGGTCGCGAGTCCGCGTGACGGCCGCGGTGACGAAACATGACGGCGGCGGTTTACGACGCTCCGAGCGACGCCGCGACGCCGCCACACTGCCACGCCTCGCGACGCCCTGTCAGCGCCCCTGATTTACCTCAGTCCCCTCAGCCCTCGCGCGTTAGCGTAGCACTGGGTGAATTGGCGCGTCGTACGACACGAGGTTCGGTTCGAGTCCTGTTTGGCGACTCTGGAGCTCAAAACGTGTCTAGAGTTTTTGGCCCTGGCGCACTGGGTCTATTTTGCGGGAGCATGCAGGACACAAAGCATAGACCCTCTCCTCGACGGCGACTCCGCGCCGGGAAGGGGCGTATTAGCCTCCGATGGGATTTCTCATTACAGCGAGTACTTACTGGTCCATCGCGCTGGGCCGTCCGCCTCGCCACGCCCTCGCCGCGAGGCCGTGCGCCCGCGGCGCTCACGTGTGGGTGCGGGGGGCGCCGGCGAGTCGAGAGGGCCAGAGCGGCGCCGACGCGACCCCGGTAGAGCTGGCGCCGGCCGAGGGGTCGACAACTCCCATATTACCTCGTACGCAGAGCTTATATTACCTCTATATTACCTTATATTACCGTATATTCCCGTATATTACCCTATATTACCTCTATATTACCTCTATATTACCACTATATTACCACATATTTCTGTGATTTGCTTGTTTCTAACCTAAACTAACGTTAAACTTGTCGTACTGAACCTTGGTATCAAGGTGTTAAAGCTATTAGGCTTCTCCTTGCGACAGGAAGAAATTCGGATTTGATGTCCGTGTTCAATCTGACATGAAGCTACGCGCCATACTTTTGTCAGATAGGTTGCATCGGGTTGCATACCTTTTATCTGACAGGGGGCGCTGTCATGAAACGAGGGTAAGGTCTGCATAATACCAAAATTCTAGCCAGAACTCCTGATTTTAGCCTTAGTCAAGGATACTGTGTCACGTTCTCATCTTCTTTTATCATATATTACCGTTGTTTTATTGCCGTATATTACCTTATATTACCCTATATTACTTATATTACCGGTAATATATACTACCTCGTACACGGCTCGAGGTAGTTGTCGACCCCTCGGCGCCGGCCAGCCGGCCTGGCAGCCGCGCCGCCACGCCACCGCGCCGCGAAAGGGGTTGGACACACCTGGGCCGGGCCGCCTCCTCGCGCCACATGCAGCACGCGGCGCTACGCAGCCCCGTTACGTTGTTACGTTCCAGTCGGTATCAGTTAACAGCCTGGGCTGGCCGGCCTGGCTGGCCTGAGCCACTTCCAGGACACTTCCACCGCCGTAAAAATGAGAGCCGGAACGGCCGCTATCTACAGTGGAGGATGGAGAGCGGGGCGTGCGCCGCGCTCTGGGGACACTGCAGGGGCACTGCTGGGGGCACTGCTGGGGCACTGCTGGGGCACTGCTGGGGCACTGCTGGGGCACTGCTGGGGCACTGCTGGGGCACTGCTGGGGCACTGCTGGGGCACTGCAGGGGCACTGCTGGGGCACTGCTGGGGCACTGCTGGGGCACTGCAGGGGCACTGCAGGGGCACTGCAGGGGCACTGCTGGGGCACTGCAGGGGCACTGCTGGGGCACTGCTGGGGCACTGCTGGGGCACTGCTGGGGCACTGCAGGGGCACTGCTGGGGCACTGCAGGGGCACTGCTGGGGCACTGCAGGGGCACTGCTGGGGCACTGCAGGGGCACTGCTGGGGCACTGCTGGGGCACTGCTGGGGCACTGCTGGGGCACTGCTGGGGCACTGCTGGGGCACTGCTGGGGCACTGCTGGGGCACTGCAGGGGCACTGCTGGGGCACTGCAGGGGCACTGCTGGGGCACTGCAGGGGCACTGCTGGGGCACTGCAGGGGCACTGCTGGGGCACTGCTGGGACACTGCTGGGGCACTGCTGGGGCACTGCCGGGGCACTGCAGGGGCACTGCTGGGGCACTGCAGGGGCACTGCTGGGGCACTGCTGGGGCACTGCTGGGGCACTGCTGGGGCACTGCAGGGGCACTGCTGGGGCACTGCAGGGGCACTGCTGGGGCACTGCAGGGGCACTGCTGGGGCACTGCAGGGGCACTGCTGGGGCACTGCTGGGACACTGCTGGGGCACTGCTGGGGCACTGCCGGGGCACTGCTGGGGCACTGCTGGGGCACTGCTGGGGCACTGCTGGGGCACTGCTGGGGCACTGCTGGGGCACTGCTGGGGCACTGGAAGGGCGGGGAGGCGAGGCGACGTCGAGCGAGACATCGGGAGCAGGAAACCGAGGAAACCACATACAGGATGGCGTAGGTCAAGGATAGCGCGCACGGCGGCGGGGCGCAAGTGCGGCCGAAGTGCGGCCGAGAGCCCCGCCGCTCGGTCGTCGGACCGTCGGACGACAAGACCCTGGTCATCCCGCTGACCACACACTGCACTCGAGGGAGCCGCGGGACGGGAGGGAGGGGGGTGAGACACGACTTTTTATCCCACAGGGAAATCTGATAGACGCTACGCTGCGAGGCAACACTGCCCCCTGTGGTGACCCAGGTCCGGCCAACAAGGGAGATCTTGCGTGACAGGTGCCTCACACACACACACATGCACGTGCACACACTCACCGACATGAACACACAACTATACACACACAGACACAGACTCACACACACACACACACACACACACACACACACACATGTCTCTCGCGATGGCAGCGCGGCGCGGCCACCCACGCCCGCGTTCCAGGAGCCACGGCACACTCCCGCCCGACGTACGTACTAACACAAACTCACGCCTCCTACGCACACACGGCCACAAACACTCACACACACACACACACACACACACACGCTCGCAGCAATTCGCCGCGCGCGGTTTGACTCAAATCGATTTGTCCGGCCACTAATTTAATTAATTAACTCGCGGCCCGGAGACAGCGGCCGCCGCAGAAGCGCGCGTCGCTTTGTTTGCCTTTTTCGTGCGTTGGTTTCTTTTCTCCCTTTTCCTTGAGCTTATATTCGCCGGGTCGGCCGCCCCGAAAAAGGAAACAAAATGACGGGACAAAATAAAAATGCGCCGCACGTGCGTGCCTTCCAGACGACGGCATGCAAATACCGAGCGGAACGAGTGCGCCGCGCGCCCTCATCGAGGCCCTCATTCTCTTTAACAAGTTCCCCTGGCGTCGCGCCACGCCGCGCCACGACAGGGCGTCCATACTCCGGAGTGGTCTCGCCATCGGGTTCGCCGGTTCGCCCACGCCGCCAGTGAAAGGCCCCGTCATTTACATGTGCACCATTCTGATTCCGCGCCAAGGTCAAGGATGCCCCGTGACTCACGCCTCGCGTCTGGGCGGACGCGGTCAACGTCCGGGTGCGCGGCCCGCGCAGCGCGGCACCAGAGGGCCTGAAGACCGGTGGAGGCGGTCAAAATCCCGAATGCGTTTTGAGCTCCCCTGAGTCGCTAAATGGGACTCGAACCGAACGTGTGACCCCACCAATGGATTCCTCGTTCGGAGAGCAATCCATTGGTGGGGTCACACGTTGGTTTCAAGTCCCATTTCGCGATTCCGGAGCTCAAAACGCGTCCGGGATTTCGACCGCCTCCACCGGTCTTCTGGCCCACTGTGCGCCACAGGAAAATGTTCGAACGTCGGCAACCTTACCTGCTGCAGGTCCAGCGTGACGGTCACGTGCTCGTACTGCGCGCCCTCGGCCAGGGTGGGCGCCTGCCACCAGCCGTCCGAGCTGGCGTCCAGGGCGAGGTCGGCGGGGTGCGCGCGGTCGGGGTGGTGGCGGTGGCACGAGTGGCACTGCAACCCCCGGCGACCGCCGCCGCCGAGGCCGCCGCCAGGGCCGCCGCCCTTGCACCAGCGCTCCTCGCCGCGCTCCCCGCACGTCGCGTTGGCGGCGATGCGGCCGTGCGGCGCCACGTTCACGATGGGCGGGTACAGCGGCGAGCCCAGCGGCGCCGCGTCCAGGTCGTCGTCCACGGTCCAGTACACGGTCGACGGATCTGCAAAGAAGGGGGCGGCTCGTTACCGAGTGTGTACACCATCCTTCGCGCCTCGTTGATCCGAATCGATTCGAATGGGAGCGAGATAAAAACGCGCAACGCGTCGAAAGAAGACGGGAGGTAAAGACGCCCTATAACGCGTCAATCCAGCGATGCTGGGGAGCGCTTCGCGCCGCTTCATGCGCACCGCCCTATTGTTATGTCTGTTGGTTCCAGTAATAGCCGCTCACAACAACACACGCTCGCACGCACACAACAGCGGGCGCAAACGGCCGAAGAGGAAAACCTCTAGCGCCAAACTTGATCGTCCTGACGGGACGCGCTTCATAAACGTCACTCAATGAAAAGTAATTCCGTAAATTGATTGACGCTCCACTTTGCCCGGCTGCTGCTGTACTCTGTTACTTACTCGCGTGCGGTGCGGTGTGCAGTGCAGTGCCTGCATCGGGCCGCCCCCGTCATCAGGGGCCACTTACAGTGTACTTACAGGACCCTCGCAGCACCTTCCATCATGCAGTGCAGGCACATGCAGGCAGTACGTAAACGACGCCCTGCAGCGTGGTCGAGCGTGGTGCTTTCGGGGGGCCTGGGCCCTGGACCTGCTTCCGCACCGGCCGGACCGCGCGTGCCGCGCCGCCGCCCTCCACCTCGAGAAGGCCCTACTATATTATGCAACGTTTCTCTATTCAATATCTCCATTGAAAAGGTCAACTGGAACGGTCAAAAATAGAATTTTCGACAAGTGTATTTAAATGCCTCGCACCGCCCTGCGGAAGGGCCGAAGCTGCTCCCCCTTGCACCTCGCTGCGAGAGGGGGGAGGGGGAGGGGGGCGCCTCACGGGTGGTTATTTTTACGCGCGGAACTTGCAGTGCGTCGCGCACTACACGCACCGCGAGGTGTCGCGGCTCCGCGTTCGGGAAAGCCTGCCTGAATCAGAATCCCCCCCTCCCCCCTCCCCCTAGGCCTCCTCGATGCGTTCGATTCATCGCCCCCGAGGCTTTACGAATGATCGATCAGGCTGACGCCCTCGCCGCGCCACGCGGCCGCCCCGCCGCCACGCCCCACGGGATCCCCGCTGCCATGTTTTGTAAACCAAGTGACACATAACTGCGTTGGCGGCGGTCCAAGCCGCTACCTCACGCCGGCAGACGGCGACGCCCCGCGGCAACCCTACTAGACGACGACGACGCCGGCCGGGCGGCAACCCTAGGAGGAAGGCGCCGCCACGCGGCCGCGGTGCGCCGGCGGCGCGAAATCCGCCAAACCGACGACGGCGTCCCCCCCGACCCCCGCCGCCGCCTTCCGCGACGTGTTTTCATGACCTCCTTCCCCCGCGCCCCTCTCCCCCGTCCCGGGCGGGCCGGGCTGGGCCGGCGGCGCTCTGAGCGATCAGATCGTAAAGGGCTTTACGGCGGGCAGATGCTCCGCGTCCGGTCGAGTCCAACGGCTCCCAAATGTTGTCGTCCTTTCTTCCTTCCACGCGGCGGCGGCGGCGGCACGACACTGCATTGTGCGCGGCCCACCGCGACAAGAGACGCGCGCTCTCCGACGCCTCCTCCAGGACGACCAGGACTCGGGACCGCGCGGCCGGCTGTCTGGTCCGCTCCTTTGACTGCCCGGAGGGATACGCCCTCCGAATGGACTTCCCTATTGTCACTCTTGTTCGTCACGGCATCAGCCGGCCGACACGTGCGCGCCGTCGGCTGTCCGGACTTTGATACCCAACCCGACTGTCCCACCCCACCCCACCCCCCGAGGAGTTTTTAACTGAACTGTCTCAAACGTGCGGCCACCGCTTTGCTTCTCGAAACGGACAAACAGAACAAACAAACGGCGACGACGACTAGCGGTGGACTCGCTGATGCTACCCGGGCAGGCCGGGCTGGCCGGGCTGGCCACGCTCCGCGCATTGTTCCTATCGCCGCGGTCTGCGATCCGCGCAACTCGGCCGTCCTGCACGCCAGTTACACTGGTAAACCGGGGACGGCGGCACCGGCAGGCCCCGCGCCCACAAAGGCCCTGCACTGTGCACGGCCCCACGGCTCGGCTCGGCTCGGCTCGGCTCGGCTCAAGCTGAATACGGCCCCCGGCTCAGCCCGTACGCTAAACAGGGTGGCGCGGACTTTCCCCGTTATCAAATAGGCCATGCATACAGGCAGGCAGGCTGGCCGGCCGGACCGCCGGACCCTCTGCTCTCCAGAGGGTGGCCCCGCCCCGCCGTACGAGTGGAGAAATGTCTCGCATGGGTGCGAGAGAGAGAGAGAGAGAGAGAGAGAGAGAGAGAGAGAGAGAGAGAGAGAGAGAGAGAGAGAGAGAGAGAGAGAGAGAGAGCCGCTGTTCGCAATCGCCCTGCTGACGGGTGTGACCGGTACAAAGCCCACAGCCCGGGGCACTGAAGCACAGATTGCACTCATTATCACGACCACCTCGACCACGCCGCGGCTCAATCCACTCTCACTCAATCCACGCTCCGTGACGAAGGCCGCGTCGGCAACCTCAACGCGCGGGTCGCTGCCGCCGCGCTGCCTGTTGCTGGCAGGGTAGGGTAGGAGTGTGGCTCCCTGCCAGCGCCGCCCTGCCGCCCTGGTGACGGTCTGGGCCGTGGCGCGGCGCGGCGCCGGTCTAAGTCGAGGAGCAGCGCGCCGCTCCGCGAAGTAGCAAAATAGCGGACGCAACCCTCAAAACGCCGGCGGGGCGGCGCGGGGCGCTCGGCGTCTAGAGCAAGGCCCCCGCCGCCGGCACGCCGCGTCCCATGCACCGCAAGCGCCCCACGTGCACAGTGTACCGGTGCGGCCGTGTACAGCACGCACCCAGCACGCATCCCCACTCCCCGGCCTGATTTAAACACCAATAAATACTGACCCAAAGGGCCTGCAGCGCCCAGAGGGCCGAGCCGAAGGCAAGGGCCGAAGAGGGCAGCCCGACGGGCCCGGCCTGGAGGAAGCGCGGCGTGGCGGCGCTGCCGGCCTCTCCAAGGGCCATGCCGCCGCATGCCGCCGCCACGGACCCTACGGGGCCGGGCGGGGCCACGGGGCCCTACAGGGGGCAGGGCCGGCGGGGCCAGCACGGCCAGCACGGCCAGCACCACGGGATGGGCCGGAATAATTATTACGGGGCTAGTTAGCAGCTCACACGGGAACAAAGCAGACATCATTGGACAGACATGAGCAATGGGCCATCGCGGCCATCACGCTCGAGAGGAGGCCGTCAGGGAAACGCGTCGGGCGTGCGCGCGGGCTGCGGGTTTGAACACCGGCAGGGCCGTTTTCTCCGGACTTACAGGGTGCTTCCGCGTCCTGAGGCTGCATTGCTGCAGGCATGCACCGCGCCGTGCCGTGGGGCCCACAACAATGAGCCGAGCGGGCGTCGACGGCGTGGACGGCGTGGACGGCGCGGCGAGCCCCGGGCGCGGCCGCGGGTCCGATCCGCCCTCAAATCGAACAATGGCGGACGGAGTCATGAGTCCAAGGCGGGACGGTGGACGGGCTTGTCCAGGACGCCAGGACGGCCGGCGGGGAAAGGAAACGTCCCATCGAGGACGCGATGGCCGCCGCCGTCATGAACCAACAAGTGGGGGCCAAATTAGGCGGGCCTCTCGAAACGCAACCGCCGAGAGAGACGAGAGCTCGAAACTCCGCCGATGACGTCACGGCTGGGGCGTGTGAACTGGGGGTTGGCCTGGCCGGCCAGGGGTGCGGGCGCGCCACTCGGATTCCAGGGCTTCCAGGGCTTCCAGCAGCAGCAGGGCGTTGGTCGCAGCTTTCCGAGAAGATGGCCGAGGCGCTCCTGGCCGCCGTCGCGCCGCGTCATGTTTACCCCACACTTAGTGTCACTGCGTCGGGCGGGGCGGGGCGGGGGGGCGGGGCGGGGCGGGACGCGGCGGGGCGGGGCGGGACGCGGCGGGGCGGGGCGGGGCGCGGCGGGGCGGGGCGGGGCGGGGCGGGGCGGGGCGGGGCGGGGCGCGGCGGGACGCGGCGGGGCGGGGCGGGGCGGGGCGGGGCGGGGCGGGGCGGGGCGGGGCGCGGCGGGGCGGGGCGGGGCGGGGCGGGGCGGGGCGGGGCGGGGCGCGGCGGGGCGGGGCGGGGGGGCGGGGCGGGCGCGACACCCCTATTGATGGCCCTTCGAGTCCCTGCGTCCTCGTCGTCCTCGTCGAGTCCCTGCCGATGCGCGTCCATCGGGACCATTGTGCCGCTACGCCGTAAACAGGGACGCGGCCGGTGTGGTCTTCCTGGTCTTCCCCGGGATTTTATTTCATGTTAAACAGGTAGAAAAATACCCGGCGATGGGGACAGAGTGCCGCTATAAAAGTATTCTGCCAAAAAAGGGCGTGATGAACTAACGACTTCCACCAGACGTTGTTTGGTTCACGCGGTTCAATTCTGTTCCAAAGTGTGGAAAATGACACTGCGACCACGCGTGCGAGTGCGTGAACGTGCACTGTGCGTGGGCCGCCCCGTGGCCGCCGCTGCGCCCACCTCGAGTGTGACTTTCACTTTTTATCCTCTCTTTTTCCGGCGTCAAATTTATTTCCACCTCGGCGAGTCGAGTACCCCGCATATCATTTCACGTTGATTTCCGGCCCGTCGTCCTCCTCTTCGGGGTCTCGGCCACTCCGTTCCACTCCGTTCGGGCGACACGCGAGGCACCGGCCGGCCAGCAGACTGGGAGTCGGTGTTTTCGCCCTGTCTCTCTCGCACGTGCATTCGGGAGCGCTTCGAGACGCGTGAGCGCGAGAGACAGAGCGACAACGACTCTCGGACGGTCTGCATGAGCGAGCACACCCAAACACGGTGTGGACGTGGAGCCGAGCGCCTTGTCCCGCTGCTGCCCCGCGGCCAACTGTCGGCTGGGGTTCGACTCCCGGCCGCGACTCGATGCTTGTAATTCGATTTTCGTTCTGGCACTGTACCCTCGGCGCAGCGCGGACTGATTTGATTCATGGACTCCAGTGGACTCCAGCCGGGAGCCACGCGGTGCGCAGCCTTTTGCGCAACGGGAA